GTGTCTGAGCAGATGCGAAAAGGGGGCATTGTTACGTCACTTTTTGCATCTTGTTGATTGTCCAATGTCACGAAGTCAACAAGAAAGTCGATGCTCGGGAATAGGTCCATTTGTCTCGCTTTATGATTTTACATCGTCCATCTTCACCGTGACTTATTCCACGCGATTGACAGCGTTCTAAAACTTTCCTTGTCACGAGGTAGACGCCAGGGTTGCCGTATTAGCTTTTTTAACGCCAAATTTGCCATTTTTAACCTTTTTCAAACCCGTTTGGCGTCAGAATTTCCGTTTGGTTTTTTGGGGCTTTTTTTAAGTCTATTATTAAAATCAGATGAAATATAATTTTTAGTGTGTAACGAAAGCCTATTACCGGTACTTAGCTACTTAACATTTGGATTTTCCCGAGCATCGATCTCTTTATTTATTACCTTAACGCTTAACCATACCCAATGAGAATCAAGAAAGGTATGCTCAAAGTTATAGACACGTTCGAAGTAAATGTAATAGTAACAGTAATAGCCTTCGGGCCTTCTAAAGAAAATTTTTATCTTTAAGCACTAAAAATTTCAGAGCAATTGGTCAAGTAATGAAAGAAAAAAGCGACTTTTTAGGATTTGGTAGCAAGTGGGCGTGGCTACGGTAACTTACCAGTACCTGAAATTCGTTTGCAGAACGGTTCTTTCTTGTCATATAAGAACTCAATTCATTTCCTCTTATCAAATAAAAAAAATAAGGTAGGCTACAAAATTTATGTTGTTTACATCAGAACTGTAACGAATAGATGAGAGCTTAATTTACTGCGGTACCGTTCGGTACCTTACCAGTAGGCCTACTATTCGATCGTGGAACGGTTCTTCTCTGGCATATAAAAACTCAATTCAATTTGCTCTTATAAAAATTAACAAATACGGCAGGCCTTCGCTAGAAAACGTACATTACTGCAATAGTAAGATCGCGAAAGGAATAAGTCAATTTGACTATGGTACGGTAACTTAGCGTACAAATAAAATGGAACAAGTTGATTTGACTGAAAATGCAGTAAGAGTAAATATGTAAATGAACTTGATATGCTTTGGCACTTACCTACGTCACATGTTGAAAATTATCGGAGAAGTTGTAATCAGTGGTGGGATTCAAATTTTTTGTTAGCCCGTTCCTTCACAAATGTCATATTTTTCAGCCGGTTCTGTAACAAACAGAACATTGACAGTAACCAGTAATGCTAACCGGTTCGCTGATCTCATAAAACTTCGTGAGACGGTTCTATAGAACCTGTGCGAACCGACTGAATCCCACCACTGGTTAAAAGGCTTCTTCCTTATCATACTTTCGTTAGTTACGGCAAAACTGTAACAAAAAGATGAGAGCGTAATTCACTGTGGTATGGTACCGGTACCGGTGCTTCAACTCACCGGTACCATACCGTAACTATTAGCCTGATACCGGTATTCGATCGTGGAATGGTTTTTCTTTGGCATATACAAACTCAATTCGTTTTCTGTTATCAAAATAAACTAATACGTTAATATACAAAACTTGAATTTGTGCAATAGTAAGTCACCGTGCTGTGTTACGGTACTGAAACTGTTCTATCTCAACCAGTTCCTGTCTTGTGCCAGCTTCAATTGAAATTGCAAGATGATCCGACTTGAAACTGCAGTAACACCAGAGATCCGAAACACTACTGTATTTAATACAGTGTATTATAACACCAGGTACGGGTACCGCCAACGACTAACATACCGCGCAGTTCACAACAACTCTTAACGAGCAATAATCACATTAGCTTCTTTGCCGCAATCGCCACAAAGTGCCACTATTTTTCATTGTGATCACCAATTCGCACAAAAAAAAAACGGATCACTTGAAGTTCACAGAAAATCTTGAAATTGCTTTCTGAAAAAAAAATTCTATCTCCACTGAAAATTGCAAAGCAATTGGTCCAGTAATCAAAGAGAAAAGCGATTTCTTCAGAACGTGTCAATGAACAAAACGATCGTTATGTCCACTACGTGCACAATAATTGCTGTTTCTGCGGCCGCTTAGACAGATGTTCAAGCAGAGTTGTAAACACTGCCTCGATTTTATAGTTTTGCGTGGTATTTGTCAATTTTTAGTTGTTTCCAAAAAACAGTTTGGGATAGGATTTACATATTTATCCCGAGGAAGAGGAAAGACGGCTTAACCATATGGCGAACCACGGTCTCTCGTCCGGTTACCATTCCATGTCGGGTATGGGATTAGTTAGTTATTTGTTTTCGGAACGGTCACGGCCAAGGCGGCGAGGAGTCCAGCAATCTTCTCGCACATGACCATGGTGTTAGAACCTGCGAACCCACGCAGAGTAATCAGGGATGCGGTGGCGAGCGTATTCCTAACGCTTAGCACGATGAGCGACACTGCCGCCTTGTATAACTTAATTTTCATTACCGGTATGCTTGATGTGGAACCTTAGTTTAATTGCAGTAATCAAAATTTAGTCTCACGAACGATGTGTTAACTACGCTAAAATTACTGAATTAGCTATCAATAGTCCACCTGTAAGCGGCACGTGGTTAGATAATTGTGTAATACAATTGATGATTTATAAATTTGAGAGATGAAAAAATTTTCAATAGTAAAGTACGATATAAGGAGAATTTTTTGAGGTATATCACAAGTTTAAGTAGAAACATGTAACTATATCACATACTGAAGCGGCGGTACCCTATATTATATGGTAAAATATTGTTGCCCGTTTGATATTTATTGGACACGTTGCTGGACATTACGATCGTTTTGTTGTTCTTTGACACTTTTTGGACACCTAGTGGAAATATTAAAAAAACGCTTTTCTCTTTGATCACTGGACCAATTGCTTTGGCCAATTTTTAGTGGTTAAAGATGAAATTTTTCTCCAAAAGGCTATTACTGTACTTTTATTTATTTCAAATACTTTTGTTAGCTCTGTGAGATTTGTTTTTGTTTGCTATGACGTCACTGAACGTTCTGCGGACGCATATGCAGGCACTCCTCTTTTTGATCACGTGTCATCGAACGTTGGCGTGACGGCGGATTCGGAAAGTCGTTGCAAATCGCAAGTTTTCGAGGTTACCGGTGAATGGCGGTGATATAACGGCTTAGCACCATACGATGGCGATGTGCTCGTTAGGGTGATTGGAATAAATAGATCGTACAGGCACTTTATTTCTGATGACGCGGTTCTGTCTGAGTTCCTTTCAAAGTTCGAAACGATTGTCCAAAGATGTTTATTGTTGAGTCAAAATAGTAGTCAAATAATGATGAAATAGTTGTCAAACAGTAATCCGGTAAAATACAGTGCTAATACACAGGAGATACGAAACAGGAAAATAGAATTATATGATGTAAATTTAAACTACGCCTACTTAATAATACCAAAAGCCCCCGATTGATTACGATACAAATTTATACGTCCTACCTCCAAGCGGCTCACGCCGAAAGAGATCCCGCCAACACCAAAATGGTCAGGGTTCAATGCCCTAAGTTACCGTTGCCAGTTTAGTTACAATAATAGCGGTCACCGTTTAGAATCATGGCCGCTACATGGCTCCCCCAATCAGTTCCTCTCGTATGGAAGTACAAGGGGGACTGATTTCTACTTAATAAAAACAAACGAGAACCAACAGTGAAAACCAAAGTGAAGCTTCGCCGCCGGTGCACCATTAAGCATTTCAAATTGAATAATGTCAAAACATAACGAATGGCTCCACCGTCGGGGAAACCCCACAAACAAGTAATAACAAACGAAAAAACACTTTATAAAGTTATAAAACAATTGGCTCCACCGTCGGGGAAACCCCACATACAAGAAAAACAGAGAGCACTTTGTAATATTACAAAGGTATCAAATTGTGAGAAATGTTGCAAACTCGTCAATTACGTTCAATAAAAACACACAAAGCATATGCAAATAGCAAAACATCAAAGAATTAATCAACTACTAACACAGTAAATGAGTAAAATCAAATTACTAACACAATAAAGGTGTAATGCAATCAATCCTCTACAGACCTGGAACCCTCATTGGCAATTAAAAGAACAAGCTTGTGTACAGGCCGGTCTAAATAAGCTGTGACCCCAACCCGCTTACCATTGGTTGTTAACAAATTTGTGGCAAGCTGAAGTCTTACTTTACGTACTAGCCCATCACCACTGGGGAAAACCTCAACAACCTTTCCTAATTTCCATGAATTTCTAGGAGACCCATCCTCAATAACATGGACAATATCACCCAGAGCAAGATTTCTCTTTGGAAAGACCCATTTCTGTCTTTCTTGCAAAAGGTGAAGGCATTCTCGTCGGTCCCTGTACCAAAATTCATTAACAAGATATTGTACACGTCTCCATCGTTTTAAAAGATACTGATCAGACTTTTGGAAATTACCTGGAGGTGGCAACAAAACCTTGGGCTTGAGTGTTAAAATGTGGTTAGGAGTCAGTGGCTCAGGTGCCAGAGGATCACTCAAATTAGCAACAGCCAATGGTTTCGAATTAACAACCTGCTCGGCCTCCACTAACACAGTGCGAAATGATTCTTCGCATAATATGTGACCGAACTGTAAAAACAGGGGCTCCAAGGCAGAACGAACAGTTTGTATCTGCCTTTCAACAAAACCCTGCATATGACTCGAATTTGGCACCCCAAATTTGAAATCGACCAAGTCACATTCACCCTGTAAGAGAAAATTTTTGATCTTGACTTGATCAAATTCCTTATAAGCCTTTCTTAATTCGTTACTTGCACCAATGAAATTGCTACCACAATCACAGCGTAGCCGTATAGCATTTAGAGTCATATAACGACCCATGTGGCCACCACGGACATGAAAATGGTGAATAATAATACTTGTGACATGACCTTTTCTAGGTAAGACAACAGGGTGTTTTACCTTAGACTCCTCTCTAGAGTTTCGAATTCGTCCCCCAACTCTGACAATGCCAGAGTTATCAAGGAAGGGGTCTAATCTTAAAAACCGGTTTTTAAATGAGACTTGATCTGAGCAATCATCTTTAGTACACTTAGATCTTTACTAAAATATGAACGCTGAAGGGAAAATATAATTAAATTTTCCGCCTGGCACAAGTCATCAGAAGTAACTTTCTGAAAGGCAGATTTAGGATTCTTGAGCAAATCCTTGTACTTAATACAGTTTGCAACTGCACGTTTTGCTTTAAACCAGGATGAGAAAATATTAAGTCTAGAGATATCAAAATCTTTGCCAGAACAGTCAGCTTTGAAGGCGATGGTTCGATGCACAGAGCATCCCTTCATCTCCTTCTGCACTTCTAAAATTACTTCATCATTCTGTTCAGGCTTTACTAATGGAGGAACAAATTTTCCTTCACACCACAAAAACTCTGACCCGTTCAACCACCTACAAACAGCATTTAGCTGGTCTGCTTGCAAGCCTCGACTCGCATCATCACTCGGGTTTGCCTTGGTAGGTACATGATGCCAGGATGATGGACTAGAAAAATTATGGATAGTTTGCACCCTATTAGCCACAAAAACATTGAAACGTTTGCTCTCATTTTGTATATACCCCAGTACCACCATACTATCGACCCAGAAAAACTCTGTGGTATTTTTCAATTTTAGCAATTACAAGGGCACAATGTGCTTTGCCACAATCATTAACCAGACGTAAGTATGTACACTGGCCATAACCACTTTCAGAGGCATCAGAAAAGTGATGAAGTTCCACATGCTTGACATTACCAAAATTTACCGGCTTATAGCAACGATCTACTCTCAAATTCACCAAATGACAAAGATCCTTTTGCCATTTTTCCCATTTCACCCTGAAAATCTCAGGAATGGGTTCGTCCCAGTCATAACAATCCTTGCACAAGGCTTGGAGGATTTTCTTACCCTCGAGAATGACTGGTGCTACCAGACCTATGGGATCATACACACTACTGACTGCGGAAAGAATTCCCCTCCTTGTAACAGGAGTAACCTTCGAGTCAATACGAAAACACAAGCAATCACTCTCCACTAACCAGTCCACACCCAGAGCTCTTTCAACAGGTAAGGGATCAGATTTTGGATCCAAACACTGCACACTAGGAGACACAGACAATTGAGGAACGCTTTCAAGAACCTCCCGACTATTAGACATTATCTTACAGAGATTTAAACCAGCACTCGAACACAAATTTGTGCTATTTTTTATCAACTCAATAGCATCCTCTGCATTTGGCTTTGAAGTCAGACCATCATCAACGTAAAATTCATTACGAATGAAGTCTGCTGCTTCCTTACCAAAGGAAGACTCACCATCATCTGCAGCATGCTTTAACCCGAAACTTGCACAGCCAGGTGATGAAATTGCACCAAATAGGTGAATTTTCAACTTGTAATGGCATAAGTTACCAGTCATATCACTATTATCCCACCATAAAAAACGTAACAGATCACGGTGCGGTTCATCAACTAAAAATTGATGAAAAAATGCTTTAATATCACACTTCACAGCCACTCTCTCCATACGAAATCTGAGCAAAATACCCAAAAGACTGTTCATCTGGTCAGGCCCAGGAAGCAAATAATCATTCAAACACACACCACCATATTTTGCAGAACAGTCAAACACAACACGAATTTTATCAGGTTTCTTTGGATGATACACACCCAAATGAGGAACATAATTCACACTACCATTGCTCAAACTTACTTCATCATCAGGCACCCGTTCAGCATAATTCTCAATGATGTCCGACATAAATTTATAATAATCATTTTTGTACTTCTGATCTCGAAGCATACGCTTCTTCAGCTGCCCAAGTCTTTTTTGAGCAAGAGGCAAATTATTTGGAAGGTTGATTTGTTGGGATCGTAAAGGTAATGGAAGTTTGTAATGGCCATCCTTTTTAGTGATGCCATCTGAGAGAATTTTTAGAAACCTGTGGTCTTCTGCTGATATATTTTGTTGATTGCCACAGTGCTCAACAAAATCAGCATTAAACATCGAACACACCTGATTGGGAAGTAACACTTCTTTTACTTTAGTGGAGAAGACAAACTTCTCCACGGGGTCGACTTTGGAAGTAGCACCACATGCTAGCATCCTATGACTTACATAGCAATCATTATCACCATGGCAAACTTTCCCAACAACACCCCATCCAAGTATGGATCTTTGAGCATATGGCTCAGTTTCTAGACCGGCTATTATATCTCGAGGTCTGATAGCATTTGGTGCATTGCTGCCTATAAGCATAGAAACAGGGAGATCTGGCATGTATGGCATTAAGTGCTTGGCTACATCAGCTAGATGTTTCCACTTTTTGCAGACTTCAGATTTGGGAATTTGAGATCTCTTGACAGGGATCTCATCTCGGGTATATGCTCTGGGAACAGATATAATATCTTTATGATCATAACTAGAGACTTGAATATTTTTAAAAACCTTGCAACGAATTAAGTCATTGCAGCTGGACATAGTGGATAATGATATCTGGGTGTCAACACCCTGTAACCACAGTTTCTGTTGCAACTCACCTGTGATAAAACTTGTATTAGACTGGCCATCAAGCAGACAGTAACATAACACTTCTTTTGAAGTGTTACCTTTGACCCATACTGGGATAATCATGGATTGGTCTACACCATCATGTTGGTCAACTATTGAGCATACTTCAGAACAGAAAGATTGGTTACTTTCAGTCTGTTCTGGCTTATTGTCAACATGAAAACATGTCAAATGGCCCTTATTGCACTTTCTGCAAGAAGCCACGTTTTTGCATGACTTTGCACTATGACCCTTGGACATTTTGACTCCACAAGAATAACATAAAAAATTATCCCAGAACAGTTTCCTTCTTTTTACCAAAGAAATTCGTAAGAATGTTTGACAATCACCAATTTTGTGAGGCCCATTACAATGCAAGCAACTATCTCGTGAAACATTAGTGCTAAAGGAATTTTTATTCATTCGATGACCATATCTCGAATGATTAGACTTACTATTTTGCTCAGTATTATACTTGGACGGGTTGAGATTCTCATCAAAAACTGTCATCTCAGGACAATGCATCACTGAGGCACGCTTTAAAATAAATTTTGCAAACTCCTCGAATGGAGGATATTTGGGGCAGTTTACCTTCAAGTTATCAGAGGTGTTTACATTAAACTTACACTTCCATTCATAAACTGACTCTTTCCACCTGTTAAACAATGAAGAGGGCAAAACTCTTTTGATTAACGCACATAGCTCTGAGGGAAAATCGAGAATTTTTAAATCCTCTACAACCTTTTTAACCTCAACAATTTGCTGAAGGAAATCAGAAAATGCCAACATGCCTTTTATATCATTTGGACCAATTTTAGGCCATGATGCCAGTTTTGTTCTAAAGGCTACACTAATGACACTGTCATCACCATAGCGATCTTTTAAGGCCTTTTTAGCTCTTTCATAAGAATTCTCGGATTGTAATAAAAACAAACCTTCAACCATACTTTTGGGTTCACCTGTCAAGTGACGTTCAAGCAGATTCATTTTATCTGCGTCATCAAGCAACCTTTGCTCGACTAGCTTTTTAAATGAGCTCTCCCATTGTGGATATTGCAATGGATCCCCATCAAACACCCTAACTTTGGCTACAGGAGCCCTTTGGACTGATAAAATATTACTCATTAAATTGGTCATGTCATGGGAAAGATTGCAGGTCTGTGGAGGAAGAGCAGCACTATTCACAGTGGGAACAGAGATATTATTATCATTACAATGAGTTGGTAAGCTGCCTGAATTGGCAGACACAGTGGTAGTTTGTGTACAACAGTTAAAGGGAGCACTAGCAAAACTAGATACATTTAAAACATTTTGTGATACATTAGAAACAGTAGGCACTGATGGACATGAATTCACATTAGGGGGTGGCAAAGAAAAGCTACCAACATTTACAACACCAGTGGAAATGGCATCTTGGGAAGCACTAACATTAGCAATGGATTGTCGGGGATTGATTACAGGACTATAGCTCGATGCTTGGCAGGGAATATCAACAACAGTGGATAAAACTTGATCATGATTAGAAATATCTGAATTATTTAGCTCAATTTGAGGATCAATAACCATGCACGCTGGGGCCTCATTTAAAATAGGAGATTTTGAATTTGCATTAAAACAATTATTATTAGAATTGAAATAATTATTTGCACCTCTGATTAGATCCACATCAATACTGAAAGGATTTTCGGCCTCTTCAGCTTGAAGACAAACTAGCGCCCTGGCTTTTTTCTCCGCTATCTCTTTTTGAATCTGAAGTTCCTTTTCTTGCTCTATCAGACGTGTTGTGGCTATCTCCTTTTGAATCTGAAGATCAAATTGCTGTTTACGAATGTCTTTCGTAGCCTCCATTGCTGCCACATCTTTTTGCAAGTCGAAGAATTCTTTTTTGCTTGAAACTTTGCTTCGATGAGACGATGAAGATTTCACACTGGTTACAGATCGAGCAGAGCTGTGTCGCTTTGAACTTGAATGATATGATTGTGAAACTTGAGATCGTTCATCTAGTTCTAATATTTTCGCACTAGCAGTTTCAGAAACTTGTATAATATTTTCCATACATTGTTGATAACGACGTGTGAAATTCACCAATTCCGTCTCCAATAAAATGTTCTTCATATCCTTTACAATTGAAGATAAACTTGACTTATACTGCACTAGTTTTGGAAACACCGCTTGGATTCCAGAACCATCTTTACAGGTGACGAAAGACAATTTGCAGTCGGCTATGGCTTCTAAAATGTCATTCTCAATTTCATGGAAGGCTGCTTTCAACGAGTCACTATTTTTTGTGCCTTGGTCTAGTTGGATGCTAGAGCTATTTTCACTGCTAGTGGTGCCGGACTTGTCAGCAGCAGAGAATATTTTAATTGGATTGCTTTTCAAAGTTTCGCATGGTGACAAGGAATCCAAATCATCTTTTATATCAGTAATTTGACTTTCTCTAGATTTTGTTGACATGGTGTTGGTCGTTACGGTATCTAATTGCAGCTGATTACAATAGGCCTACACGGCCTCCTCAGCAGCACAACTTACTGATTATATGACGTTTTGCTGCAACACTTGCAGACTTTGACAATGTGTTTGGTCTGTGGAAACACCCCACAATACTTTACTGCAACACTTGCAGATTTTGACAATGTCCTCCCGCGGTTTGATGATGTATTTTACTATAACGGCTTAGCACCATACGATGGCGATGTGCTCGTTAGGGTAATTGGAATAAATAGATCGTACAGGCACTTTATTTCTGATGACGCGGTTCTGTCTGAGTTCCTTTCAAAGTTCGAAACGATTGTCCAAAGATGTTTATTGTTGAGTCAAAATAGTAGTCAAATAATGATGAAATAGTTGTCAAACAGTAATCCGGTAAAATACAGTGCTATTACACAGGAGATACGAAACAGGAAAATAGAATTATATGATGTAAATTTAAACTACGCCTACTTAATAATACCAAAAGCCCCCGATTGATTACGATACAAATTTATACGTCCTACCTCCAAGCGGCTCACGCCGAAAGAGATCCCGCCAACACCAAAATGGTCAGGGTTCAATGCCCTAAGTTACCGTTGCCAGTTTAGTTACAATAATAGCGGTCACCGTTTAGAATCATGGCCGCTACAGGTGATGCTAAAGGTACGGTAGACTGTACTGCTTCGCTTGGTGTGAATATATTTGTAGACTGTGGTCTGTAGGTACGGTAAACCGTACTTCACTGCTTCGCTTGATGTGAATATATTTGTAGACTGTGGTCTAAAAGTACGGTAAACCGTACCGGGACCGGTACTGTAGCCTACTGCTTCGCTTGGTGTGAATATATTTGTAGACTGTGGTCGAAATGCTACGCTTGGTGTAATATATTTGTAGACTGTGGTATCTGCTGTTATAATACCATGATAAATCGAATAAGTTAGTTTTGCAAAGAAGAAGCGTCTGGAATTACAGGTAGGAGGGGGAATAGGGGGGTGCGCATTTCCAATACGTCGATAATATGTTTGTAAACCAATTTGCGACCACCGTGTTTTTGTCTGTTTGATTGATGTGATGTGGTGCTTTGTTTATAATTTGACGAGTTTTGTTCAAATAACCGTGTTCTTAAAATATATGACAGTCAGAAATGCAATTAGAAGCCCAATGTTTTTAAAGATAGAGAAGTTCTGGTACCGTAACACAGCGTGGTGACACTGAACTAACTCGTAGCTGTCAAAAGCTTGAAAATCCATACAAATATAAGAGATAAGAAGATGAAACTTGGCAGGTGGGTAGAATTGTGTTTCTTTTACCCACCTTTGAAGGCTTCGCGTTTCTACATTCAAAGGAGGGGGAACATGTGCCCATTTCCAATACGTCGAAAATATCTTTGTCAACCAATTCGCGACCACCGTGGTTTTGTCTGTTTGATTGCTGTGATGTGGTGCTTTGTTTATAATTTGACGAGTTTTGTTCTAAATAACCGTGTTCTTAAAATATATGACGGTCAGAAATGCAATTAGAAGCCCAATGTTTTCAAAGATAGAGAAGTTCTGGTACTGTAACACAGCGCGGTGAAATTGAACTAACTCGTAGCTGTCAAAAGCTTGAAAATCCATACAAATATAAGAGATAAAAAAATGAAACTTGGCAGGTGGGTAGTAGAGTTGTGTTTCTTTTAACCATCTTTGGAGGTTCTGCGTTTTTTCATTTAAACGAGGGGGAATAGGGGGTTGCGCATTTCCGATACGTCGATAATATCGTTGTCAACCAATTTGCGACCACCGTGATTTTGTCTTTCTGATTGCTGTGATGTGGTGCTTTGTTTATACAGTATGGTGGCCCATCGTTGTCACGTGTAAAATTTAAAAAAAAAATGAAATGAAAAAGCGAAAATAAAAAATAGTTGTGAAAAAACATAAAATAATAGAAAAAAAAAGAAATAAAAAAAATGAAATTAAAAAAAAAATAAAATTAAAAAAAAAAAATTAAAAAAAAAAAAAATTGGATAAAAAGAAAATAAAAAGGTTGACAACGATGGTCCGCCTCGTGGCCCATCGTTGTCACGCGTTTTTATTTTTGGAAAATTTGATGCTGCTTGGGACCAACGTTGTCAGGCTTAATCCTACACGCACAAATGTGTTTCCTGGGTTTCTAACTCACTACTGATTTTCATGAGCAATATCCAATAAATTCAACATGAAAATGTTCTATAAATTCTCCCTGCTACAAGTTCAACCACAAGCAATATATTTATAATAATGATAAGAGAATATAGAATTGGATACGAAAATTTGTTTTTACGTGTAGAAGGTAATTTAATTAGAAAATGCTGCTTAACTGCTGAGACACTCGTGCGATGCCGGTACGGTACCGTCTGACCGTACCCGGTACCCATGCAATCACTCGTGAAAGAATGGGAGATACGGATAGTCTCGTAGAATATAGTCAACTGAAACACTCTCTGCGCCTGCCCCATACCGTACAGCCGTAACGTACCGATCCAGACAAATCGCCTGTGCTCAACCATTTATTTCAATCCATACCTCGATCCTAGTAGAATATAGTGAGTCGAGGTATGGATTGAAATAAATGGTTGAGCACGGGCGATTTATAATTTGTCTGGATCGGTACGTTACGGCTGTACGGTATGGGGCAGGCGCAGAGAGTGTTTCAGTAGTCTATATTCTACGAGACTATCCGTATCTCCCATTCTTTCATGAGTGATTGTATGGCTACCGGTACGGTCAGACGCAAAGCGACTATAACCGATTACCGGTATTTGGTAAGACGGTACGGTACCGGCATCGCGAGTGTCCAGACAACTGGGTAGTTAAGCAGCATTCTCCAATTAAATTACCTTATACACGTAAAAATTTTCCGAATTTTCGTATTCAATTCTATATTCTCCTATCATTATTATAAATATATTACTTCTTGTTGAACTTGTAGCATGAAGAATTTATTAAACATTTTCATATTGAATATTGCTCAAGAAAATAGTAGTGAGTTTGAAACCCAGGGAACACATTTGTGCGCGTAGGATTATGCCTGACAACGTTGGTCCCAAGCAGAAGCAAATTTTCTAAAAATAAAAACGCGTGACAACGATGGGCCACGAGGCGGACCATCGTTGTCAACCTTTTTATTCTCTTTGTATTCAATTTTTTTGTTTTTTTAATTTTTTTTTGTTTTTTTTTTCGTTTTTATTTATTAATTTTTTTTTAATTTTATTTTTTTTTTTCATTTTTTTTCTAATTATTTTTATGTTTTTTTACAACAATTTTTTTATTTTCGGTTTTTTATTTTCAATTTTACGCGTGACAACGATGGGCCACCATAATAAAGGTACTGGTAAGTCACCGCATATGATTTTTGGGGAATCGTTTTGCGTGTCCATATATTTGAGCATTGCTCTCTTGTTTTTCATTTTTTTTTTAAACTGTTTCATATAGATGTCAGCTTGACTGTATTGTGTTGAATGTAGACTCTGGTGCTGCCATTCAGTTAATCATTTTTACTTATGAACCCTTCAACCCGCTGAAGTGGAAATGATAGCAACCGAAAAACAACTTTCAATGGAAAAAGACATTTGTGTGGCTCACTGGATGGCTCTACATCATCATCAGTGTTGTGCCAAGGGCTTAAAATCAGACAAATCATGGGGCCTTTGTACTTGGTAAATTTGTTGGCTTTTTCTGCCTTTTTTAGATCGTTGGGATCTGGCAACCCCGGTAGACGCCCGTTGTACTTTACGGATTAGGGAGTTGCTGTGCGACTAAAGATTTTATTGTTGATGGGCTTTCCTACTTTCTGGTTATGCCGTACATTACCAAATGATTCTCAGATAGGAATTATATAATTGGAACGATATTAGGTTTATTCGTTATTATGTATATTATATTAACATTTTCTATATACTTGTATTGCTCTTAGTGCAGCTAATGTTGTCATATTCATATCGCATTACCAACACAACAAAAATTGGTGTTTTGGGCTTTGTTTCAATCAAAAGCGCGTTCCCTCACTATACTGCAAAAAAGAACAGATAAGAAAGTTGACAACGAACACTGTTTCTCTAGTACAGTAGTAGCTATATTCGTCCATTCGTTTCAAGAAAATGCTGTAATCAGTTTACACAACTATAGAAAAAATATGCTATGAAAAGTAAATATTATAGAGCGTTTAGGCCAAGAACTGAGCCTTAAAAGTTATCCAAGTTCAAGTAAGTTCGAAGTCTCTAGCTACCAAAAGCGAGAGGTACGCTTCATACGACCCTCGAAAGTTGAAACCACTGATCTATGGAATCAGACTAAACTACAATTTATGGGCCTCGCTCAAATTTTCTGTTAGGATCTGCCAGGTTAACTTGTGTCGAAAACTCGTCGAAAGGTTGTAAGCAAATGCCCT